TCTGGGGGCTGGGGGAGACGTGAGGCTCAGACCTTTGCATGCCCGTGAGAAACTGGGGGATGCAATCTGACCTGGTGGCCCGTTGCCGTCACCTTTGCTAGAGTTCTTGCCCTGCAGGGGTGTCACACCCCATATCTGCTGGGGTTTATGGTCCATGTCGCTGCAGTCACCTTGGTGGTGGCCTGAGTTAAGATACTGGGCTGACTGGAGCTTGGATGTAGGCTGTGCCCTAGATCTGTAATGGGGCAGGGAGGGAACTGTAAAGTCCCTCGGGGCAGGAGAGATCTCATCCCCCGTGAAGTCACTGCAGCAAGACTTCTTTGGAGATGCAAGGCCAAACCCCTCACTGAGAACTGACTGTCAATCTGTGGGATGCTCTGGCTCCTCACCCCATCTTGGCGGTGGCCTGGTGGTGGTGGTGGGTGCACATGTGCTTGAGTTCTTTGGGTGGAAAGACAGAAATACCATGCAGGCTGTCTCCAGCCAGTGCTGGTGCTGTTTTCTCCCCTGTAAAACCACGGTAAGAGAGCTTTTTGTCACTCTCTGAGAGTGTCAGAGACCGGGCAAGTACAGCCAGAGTTCACAGAGGTGGATCTTTGTGGTGACCCTTGATATTCCTCTCTAAGGAGACTCCTGGCTAATCAGGATGTTTTTGAGAGCAGCACTTCACCAGGGTGGTGTTTACTTAGCCAGCAGACAGGCTGGCCTCCGCTGTGGCGGTGAGGGGAATCCAGTGATACGTTAAAACAGAATTACTTTATAGAATTAGTCCCAGCTCTGCGTCTTGTTTATGCCCATTTGGATTAATTTCCTTGAGATCAAAGCGGTTACTTCTGTGCTCCCCTGGCTGGAGAGCAGACTGCAGGGGGCTTTTGTCTGTGCGCATTTGAGGTCTGCTGTTAATTGGGAGGCTGAGTTTATGTCTGTGGGGGGCTGACTGCCATGAATTGGGGGGGGTCCCCATACTACCATACTGCTGGGGCACACCTTCTGCTGGAAAATCCTCTATTTTTTGTAAAGGCTTTCTGTGCAAAGAGCTAAAGCTCCCAGAGTAGAGGCTGCTGCCCCTCTGGTTTGCAGCATGCCGAGAGCAGCCCAGCCTGGTGGTACTTGCCCAATTAAAGGTAAAAGCAGCTCTTAACGGCAAAAAACCTAATGCTTGGTGTTTTTCTGAAGTCTCCTAGATGTGCTGGCTGCTAGAAAGGACCCAGCAGGCCTGTCTGGAGAAGTGCTTATAGACGGCATCCCGCAACCGCCGAATTTCAAATGCATCTCGGGATACGTTGTGCAGGTGAGCAACTGCCTTCGGCGGAGGCCTGGGGGCCCTTGGGAGGGAAGAAGATGAGCAAAGCACGAACTACTAGGTTAGGTAATCTTCCATGATGCCTACAGACTCTAATTTGATAGCTCAGATGTTATTTTTCTGGGATATGGAAGATAAGAGGATCAAACCATCACTCCAGCCAAGTCAAGCAGGGAGGGGTTTGTCTTCCCAAAGCCACATGGATGCCCAAACCATGGGACTACTGTGGCTTGTTCTTTGGGCACTGCCCTGAAGTACTAGCAAGAGTTTTAAAAAAATATATATATATAAAAAAAGGTGAGGAAAAAACCCACAACGCCCAAAAAATCTCTTGTTGTAAAACTCAGAAGGAATTCTGGCTGGCAGAAGTACCTTCAAGCTACCAGGCAATAATTCTAGGAAGTAAATAGATCCCTGCTGTTCTTCCTCTGATTCTGGCTGGCTGGGACAGAGCTTCGTTCCACGCGGAGACAGGAAAAGCCGCCTGAATCTGCGGAAGTGGGTGGAGGCCGGGACCAATAATAGCCCCTCAAAGCCCTGGGGGAGCTGAGGAGAAGGGGATTCTTGGCAGCCGTGTGAGCAGCCCCATCTGGAAACCATCCAGGCTCCTGACTGCAGGCAGATGTGAAATAGGCAGCTTCTCCAAGAGCTGCCAGCTGGGGGGCTCTGGGAGGATGTGTGTGAGGAGAGTGATGCCCAGTCGTGATCCTGCAGGTCAAAGATCTCCAAATCATCAGTGTTCCAGGAATGGCCAGGAAGCTTCTTGTGGGTGGTCCCAGTTTGAGGCATTTGTCTCTCAAACGCCCAAAGCAACCCGATTTAGCCTTAAAATGATAGGCAACGAGGCAAGACATTAAATGGTCTCCCCTCCCAAACAACCCTCAATGCCTAAATACATAAATACACACTTACAGGGTCAATTTTATGCAGATAAGCATACAGACACGCTAAGTCATGTGTTATTCCTTTGAAACTGCTGGTGGTCCCTCCACTCGTGCTTGCAAGTGAGGGTGTCACACCACAGTTTGTTGCCTTTGATATTAAAATAGCTTAAATTCCCAGTTTAGTTTCCAGTGTGGTTACCCAGCAGTTGTATTGGTGGATGTGAGGATGGTCAATTGGAAGATGAGGTGAGAGACCAAGGGGGCTGTGAGGAGGGAAAGGAGAAAGGATGGTAGGAAATGCCTAAACCAGCTTTGGCAGCAAAGCTAGTTTATCACAACGCTACACCCTGAGTAGTCTCTCACATAAATCTCGCACAGCACCATGTTCAGTCTCCCTCTGTTAATTCTAGTGCCAAATGCTGTTGGTTGGCACATCCTTTGCACTGCTGATCAACCTCATCTGATGTGGAAGGAGTCCCAGAACAGGCAAGAATCCGCTGCGGGGCTGTGTCTTCTTCCAAAAGGCCATTAGATTTGAAAGGTGCCTGATTAACGGGCACGTTCCCTGGCAGCTGCCCAGTGTTGCAACCCTTCTGCCATCATATGGTGGGATGCAGGCTTGGCTGGAACATCACAGCAGGGATGCTGGAGAGGGATGGACATCTGGATGGGCCTCAACTCTGTTTGGCTCGTGGTTGCTACAGGTTGGTGTAGGCTGCCCAGATGTTTGTCAACTGGACAGATTTGAGTCTTACTCAAAATGCACCTGACTGTTGAAGATTTTCTAAAGTGGTCACCCTTAGAATAAGGTCACCCTTAGAATAGATTTGAGTCTAACTCAAAATGCACCCAACTGTTGAAGATTTTCTAAAGTGGTAGCCCTTTGAATAAGGTCACCCTTTGAATAAGGTCACCCTTTGAATAAGGTCACCCTTTGAATAAGATCTTATGCCCAAGCATTATAGTTGAGAGATGGAAAAAAACAGGAGCATTTTGGTGCAATTCTCTTAATTCTCTGAGGAGCTGCTGCCAGCTGCTGACTTCTTGAGCCTCTCCCTTGAATACTCAGCACTAGCAATCTCCTTTGGCTTCAGCTGGACTGGTAGAAGTTTAACTCTTTACAAAACCTGCTCTGCTTCCCTTTGGCTTACAAGGAAAGTTCATGTAAGGTACAAAATGATACCATCTGCCCTTAAACTGAGCCTCAAAGTGGGCTGAGGTGGTGCTGGGTGGAAGCTGGAAGCCTCCAGAGCTGCCTTCTCCCCTTCGCTGCTATAAAGTGACCTGGAAATTCCTGTGATGTAAGTTTTGAAGCAGTTGTCCCTCAGTCCAGCTTCCATCCTGGTCACTGCTATCGAGTGACCTGGAAATTCCTGTGATATAAGTTTTGAAGCAGGGGTTGTCCCTCAGTCCAGCTTCCATCCTGGTCCACAAACAGCTTATCCAGCAACTGCCACTACAGGGACTCTGGCGCCTGGTCAGGTAGCTGAGAAGGAGGTTTCCAACTGTCCCCTCGTACTGCTTTCAGGATGATGTTGTCATGGGCACGATGACGGTGAGGGAGAACCTGCACTTCTCGGCTGCCCTGCGACTCCCCAGCTCCATCAGCGTTAGAGAGAAGGAGGAGCGAGTCACCCAGATAATCAGCGAGCTGGGACTGAACAAAGTGGCTGATGCCAAGGTGAGTGGTGAGAACATCTTTCTCCGAAACGATGCTGCCTCTGGAAACCCGACTGCTTGGCTCTGGGCCATACGGCCACACGTTAAAGCAGCTACACTAAGATAAGCAGGAACCCAATTAAACCGTACCGCGCACAAGAGATCAGTCTCCAGCTCAGGAGACAGCTTGGAAAAGAGGTACGAGTATTTGCTATTAAAAGGGGAAGATTTTTTGGACCACGTCCAGCACGTTGCATAAGTTCAGACCCCGGGGGGAAAAAGTTGCCTAGTCATTGCACCTTGGAAAGCTGCTCGGTCACTTCCGGGCTTTGTGGGACAAGACAGGGAAATTCTTTATTTTTTTCCAGTGCTGAAAGCTGTGAGGGCTGGAAAGCTGGGCTGCGATGGAGAAGTTCTGTGCAGAACTTGTTCCTCCCAGCAGCATTTTTGCTCCACTTTTACTTATCCCACTCTTACTTGAGCAGCAGGTGAGCTACCAGCTAAAGGCATCCCTGAACGTCGATGCCACCTCTGACTGCTGTGGTCTCATTTGTCCCTTCTTTGTCCATGTCATCCTTGTTCCCTGAAGCCATAAGATGTCTGGTACCTCTGAAAAATCAGGCTGTGCTTACTGCTATGTGGTCCCTCTCACTGAGTCATCTGCTGCTGGCCCTAGAGCTCACTTATGGGGCTCTGAAAATGAAAAGGGCTGCTGGATTTGGAGAGCCCTCAACTCCAAAGCACACACCAACTAGGTCTTGTTGCAAATACCCAATTTCTTCTCCTTGTAGGTAGGAACTGAATTGATCCGGGGAGTGTCTGGAGGGGAACGGAAGAGAACCAACATTGGGATGGAGCTCATCACGGAGCCACCAGTCCTTTTTCTGGATGAGCCAACGACCGGCCTTGATGCCAGCACAGCCAATGCAGTCCTCATCCTCTTGAAGAAGTAAGAGTCAGTTCTCAAGGCTCTGCTGTAATTTTGTTGTCAGCTCATTAGTTAAAAAAAGGAATGTGGTTATGACTGAGTGGCTACATTGCTCCTTTTTTTTTAAAAAAAAAAAGCTAGACAAATAGGGTCAGAAGTTGGTAGTAAATTATTTATCTGGGTCTTGTCCAAAGCCTTTTGAAGTTGATGGGAGTCTTTCCACAGCAAGCATTGGATTGGAGCCCAAAAAGCAGATGGAGCTTGGACGGCTTCCCTTTGCCACAGAGAGGGGTGGACTGGGAGGTCAGGCCTTGTAATCATAATTTCTTGGCCTTCCAGCTGAGTCAATTACAAAGTCTCTTCCTCCCCTCTGGCAACAGCCTTGAACTCAATCAAACTTCACCTGCAGGTTTATCCACAATGTTTACCTTCATCTCCTGTGTTTTGGAGATGAACTGTCTTCTGGTACAAAGAGGACCAAACAAAGCTTATTTAATGAGTTCCTAACCCTCCTCCCGGGTCTTGTTCTGCTTTTGGGGATGCATTTTTCTTTGCTGTTTGTCTTGGATGGGCAAGGATTCTTGTTGGGCACCATACTTTGACTACACAGACTGCAATGATGGTCTCTTGTAATGATGGGTGCTGTCTTGAAGGTCTTGCAGGCAGCATCTGAGAGAGAAGGGGGAACTACAGCTTTTCTGAGTCGAGACCCCGAGAAGTTGACAAGGAATTGTCTTTGATTCAGACGGTTATTTTTCGCTTGGGTTAACCTGACCCTTGCGAAATGCAAAGCGTGGTGTATTTGGGAAATGTTTCATTTCTCTTTCAGGCTCTCAAGACGAGGGCGAACCATCATATTTTCCATCCACCAGCCCCGCTACTCCATATTCAAGCTGTTTGACAGTCTGACATTACTAGCTCTGGGAAAGGTGCTGTACCACGGTCCTGCGAAGGACGCCCTGGAGTACTTCAGTTCTATCGGTAAGTCTTCTGCGCCAGGAGTAAAGGCAACTGGCTACTGAGTTTCATCTGTGGGTAGACTCTTACCCTAGCACTGGAAAACAGTCCTGTGCTGGTCCAAATTGCCTCATGTTAGAACAGGAAAAAAAACTAAAATGAGAAAAATGACAATTTTGAGACAACACAGAGCTCTCCTCCCTTCATTTTGCCTTGCGTCGGGACAAAACCCCCAAAAGGCTTGGACGTTTAGCAGAGTGATACACAACAGCCAAGATGATGCTTGTAGTTCTGCCCTGGTGGCAGAGCCAGTGGGTTTTGAACCACAGCTGGCAGATTGGCAGCAGTTGGTAGGGGCTGACCCAAGATTCTGCTCTAGTCTGAGTGCAGGTGGGTGACCAGGAGGACAAAATCATGGCGTGTCTTAAGATGGGTCAATAACTGCACTGTTGGGTGGCTGCCCCCGCCCCAAGTAAGCAGGGTGAGAGGTTTTCTGACTGTAACAGAGAATGTGGAGTGAATCTAGTGTAGGTGCAGCTGTGGACACATTGGATTGTAAGCTTTCCCTGGCTTTAAGGGAGATGCTTTAGCCAACCTCACTACTTCTACTCCTCTTGGTGTCTCACCTCACTTCCTTTCTCACAGGAATGCTATAGAATAAGCATCCTTGCTTTTTTTTTTTCTTTTTCTCTTTTTAACCTCCTTGTCCCATAGCTAGAACTATAGTATAAGAAGTTGCTCTTGAATGGCTCTTTCTCTTCCTTGTGACCAAGGAAACACAAGCAAGACGTGAGCTTCAAGAGCAAACATCTGAGGCTATAGAACAGACATCCAGCAACCTCTACTGAGGAACTGTGTGTCTTTCAGAGTGGGATGTGGTTGAACAGGTACTGAGAAGGAAGCAAGAGTTGTCCATGCTGAGCTGTGTAGAAGCAAGTTAAAGATTTCTCCTCACCTGAAATCAGTGGAGAATAAGCAACTTTGAAGCTCTGTATAGATACCTCAGATTCACCATCTCCTAAACCCTGTCCATTCTACTGCTGTAAACTAATGCTCATGGAAAGCAGTGAAGTTTTCTGGTAACAAGCTTGTGGATGAGTGATATAGCATCACTCCTTCCAAGCTGTGCTCTGTGCATTACAAACATGTTGCATGTGTGTTTTTTGGGTTTGTGGTTGTTTTTCTTTAGGGTATGAATGTGAACCCTTCAACAATCCAGCTGACTTCTTCCTTGATATCATAAATGGTGATTCAACTGCTGTGGCAGCAAGCAAGGATGATCAGAGACCTCTGGGCACAGGGAAAGGTAATTTGTGAAGGAGAAATCCACTGTTGGCTGGTGTAGAAGGGAATTTGTATGTGGTGATGGCAAGCTTTCATTCTCTGGGTTTCCTCCAGTCTAAGGACACTTCATTTTTTATTTTCTTTTTTTTTTTTTTTTCCTGCAAGCTTTTATTCTCTGGGTTTCCTCCAGTCTAAGGGCACTTCGTTTGTTTTTTTTTTTATTTTTTTTTTTTCCTACTAATAGCTCTGTTTTGCTTTGGGCTTCTTTAAAGAGCTCAGAAAACTTGTAAAAGGGGTATTTTTTTCCTTCCTTTAGTAATATAGGAGAGCAGTGATAAATGTCAGTACTTTACAAAACCCACGTGGGAAAGATTGAAAAACCAGAAGTGCTTAGTCCCAAGAGACAGCTGGCAGAAGCTTTCAGTCACATCAGAAGCTGCTGCAGAGGAGACAGAGTAGACAGGCTGAGGAGTAACGGATTTATGGGGCAGAGAGAGAGACTGGAACTAGATTAGAGAACAAACTCTCTAACAATATAGTGAATGCAATGTTTGTTTGGGGATGCTGTAGCACATCCGTGACTGAAGGGTTATAAGAAAACAGTTTTCATAATGGTGCTTTTTTGGGGAGGTTATAAGGGAACAGTTTTCATAATGGTGCTTTTTTGGGGATGGGGAAACTTGATCAAAGCAAACATATCAATTCCCCAAAATTCAGTGAAACAAAGGTTTTCTGGTGCCTCGTTTTAAGAGTAAGGCCATTTTTTATGCCACAAAGAACAGGCAGATTAGGTAGGAAACGGTAGGAAAAGCCTCTCACTCAAGCTCACCTCTTAAGCTCAGAGCCAAGGCTTGAACAATTCAAATTCCCTGGTCATTCCTGCTTCTTTTTTTTTTATTATTCAGCCCCCAAAGTGGCTGAGCATGTTGATGGACCCTGTCTGAAGGGTTGGTGGGGAATCAAAAGCCATATATTTTCTTTCTTGCTCAGAGGTGAGCACTGAAAATGGAGTGGCAGAAGATAACGTGGACAGCAGCGTGGTAGATGTGCTGCACCAGAAGTATCTCAACTCCAGCCTGTATCAGAGCACCAAGGAAGCGCTGGGGAAAGTGGAGCTCGGACGGGGAGGCAAGCAGAGAGTGTCCAAGCAGGGCCATGAGATCACCTATGCCAACGGGTTCCTCACCCAGCTGTACTGGGTGTCCAAGCGCTCCCTGAAGAACCTCATACGGAGCCCACAGGCCTCCATTGCACAAGTAGGTAACGATGGCTGAAAATCTCAAGCTCCCTCTGCTCTCAGTCCTGCAATCTGACGTTATAGGACAGACTTTTGTGTTCAAAGGCAGCTCAGGAATTAGAAAATTCTGTGCTACTGCCATTTAAGTGGAGTGAGATACCTAACTACCTTTGTATAATTTCCATTTTAGTTTAGCACAAGGACTACTGCACTGAAGATGGGGCAGACAGGAGGAAATGCTTCATTCTCTGGTTCACATGGGGAGCTTCTAAGCTTTCTGACTTTCTATCATGATTCTATGAATCTATGATTTTCACTTGAAATTTTAAGCTGGGTTATTCTTTGAGTGTGCCTCTACTAACCTTGCCCAGCCAGAGAGGATCAGAGGAACGAGAAAAGTGAGGAGGATAAACCCGGAAGATTTGCCATAAGGCTTTTAATTGTGTGTCTCGTAGGTATATATTGACTCACAACAGCAAAGTTTTAGGCAGGTGTAAATCATAAATCCCTGCATAAGCCTTAATAATAAGTTTATCCCTATTTACTTATCTGAAGGACTCCCTTTTCCCTTTCTTTTTTCCACTTCCAGATTGCAGTGACCATAATTCTAGCCTTGGTTGTGGGTGCTATTTTTTTTGGTGTAAAATTGGATCGAAGTGGCATTCAGAATCGGTAAGCTGGTGAAGCTTTGCTCATTTTTTTTGTTTCCTATCTGTAGCAGACAGGTTTCAGCCACAGGGAGGGCCTTGGGATCCACTTGGACCACAAAGGAAGGAGGGTTGGATTCACGTGCCTCAGGGCACTGCAGGATGGGGCTTCTGGATTCTTTAAGTTCTGTGCAAAGGAGATGCAAAAGGGAAGATAAAGGAATAAACCTGGTTTTATGGCTAAGATTACAATAGCACAATTAAATATCCCCATTCTGTGGACAGAGACAAAAAAACACTGACTTGATGGTATGAGGCTGCCCGTGTTGATCTAGGCTGTTTCCTCACTTTTTGACTGTTCCGTTTTGCCTTCTAGGGTTGGATCCTTGTTTTTTGTCACCACAAACCAGTGTTTTTCCAGCGTCTCGGCAATCGAGCTGTTCATCAGAGACAAGAAACTATTTGTGTAAGTAGTGAGGTGCTTAGACTGTTCTCATTCCCTGGAGCGAGGTGGCAGGAGGAGTATCTCACAGGCTAAACAAAATCATTTTCCACCAAAGACTTGATTGCTCCCTTGCAACACCAGATTGTAATGGTAATGCTAAATTGGCTTGTAGAGCAGGGAGCTGAAATGCTATGAGGTGGGGGAAGGAGGGGAGAAATAAAATGCTTTTAACTTGCTTGCTGGGACAGAGTTTACCGAGAAGTGCTTTGCCTTCTGGTAATGGCTATTTTTGAAGTCTGCACGTGAATCCTGCAGACACCAATCCCTGCCCGCCCTCTCGCTGTCGGGGCTGAAACGCTGCTTCCCGGTGGCCCTAAAGTGGGGAAACTGTGCCAAGATGAAGGGGAGTTCTTGGAAAAGCTTGGCAAGGGATGCTCGGATGAAGAGGGCTGCTGGCTGGTTTACAGGAACTCCCCAACAATCAATCAAGTGCATCTCTTTACCTATCTATCTATCTATCTATCTATTTGTATATGTGTTTGTGGGTATATATATGTAAATTTGTGTATATATATATTATATACACACACGTATATATACATATATGTTGAAAATGTAGTTTGGAATAGCCTCCAGCTCATGGGATGAAAGGGCAAGAGACAGATCCTTTGCAGTAAAGAACAAATTAGGGATTAGTGCCTGGAATGCACATGTCCACCCACAGGTTGCTCAGAGCAGCTTAATATTGCCCCTCATGGCCATCTCCCCCATGCTCTCGCTTCTTGCCAGTCTGCCCTGCTCACCAGCTGTGGCAATGGGCCTTTTGGCACCTCCCCAATTTACAGCATCTTTTCGTGAGCTCCATTAAGCAGCAAAGCAATCATAACGACAGTTAATTGCCCTGTGAACTGGAGGCCAGTTGATGTCCTAAAGGTGTTTTTGCACTGTTGGGTATTCCCCATTCCTTCTAGCTGTGGATGAAGTGCTCCTCCAGTTAATAGCAGTCTAATACTTTCCCATGCTCTCGTGTTAAGGATCATTCTCTTTGAAAAGAGATTTAGGAGCTTTTTTTCCAATATGTTACATAGCAGTCATGTAGCCTTTGATTCATTTTCCTCGGAGGGCTCTCAGTATGACTGCAGGGCTTGGGAGATACACCAGCCCTTGCTTTAGAAAGTGAGAAGTGATAACACAAAGAAAACAAGCAACTTGTATATAGAGGAAGAGTCAGTGGTAGAGAGAACAGAAACCAAATGAGGATAAACCAGACACAGAAGCTGAGCCTGCGTCCCTAGATAACCTCTAAACCTGTGCAACTCCCCTCCTTCCTGTCCTCACAGCCATCAGTACACCAGTGGATATTACCGTGTGTCTGCCTACTTCCTGGCCTTGATGATAGGAGATCTGCTGCCCATGAGAACTGCTCCAGCCATCATATTCTCATGCATCACTTACTGGATGATTGGTAAAGAATCGATGCTTTCATTGAACCTGTCATCTTCCAACACGTTTGATTTCTGACTTAGCCACAGTTTAGTTCCTGTATCTATAACGTGAAACTAGTTGAACCTTCAACTTGATTTAAGTGCTTGGCATCATAACTTCGGAGGACTCTGGGGCAGGGGCAGAGACACCAGCAATCTAAGACAGGGATCTGCTTGACCAACATCTTCCAGTGGGCTCTTTGGGCCTTTGGAGCATGCATAGTTCCTGCCAACTCCAAACTTGGTCTTTCTTCCTGCTTTCCCTGTCTCACATAGGAGTCCAAGGGTACCTCTCCGGGATCCATAAAGTCGTTGTTTACTGGCCTCTTTCCTTTCTTTTTTTCACAGGATACCAAGCTGTTGCAGGCCGGTTCTTCTTCTTCATGCTGACCCTCATAATGGTGTCCTACACTGCCACGGCCATGTCTCTGGCTATCAGTGCTGGGATGGATGTGGTGGCTGTGGCCAATCTGCTCATCACGATTTGTTTTGTCCTGATGCTTGTAAGTATGTCAGGGTGTAGGGGCTCCTTGGGTGGAGGTGAGGAAGCAGCTGAGATGGGCTAAGAATCCACAGTCCAGGAGCATGTCAGCCCCATTTATTGACTTTATTGTCACTATAGTCAGATACCTACTTCTGCCAACTTCTAATCTAAGGGTCAAATCATTGCTTAGGTGCAGTTCAGTAGGTGAGATGCCACCAGAGTTTTGGAAACAGTGTGTCCCAAAAAAGTGTGTGGTGGTTTTTTTTAAAAAAATTTTTCTTACAAAAATTTCCTTTAAAAAAAATCTTTCCAGTAATAGAAATCTAAGTCATCAACTAGATCATTTTAAAGAAAAAAAAATAATCTTGAAATCATCTTTAGATTGATTTTATTGCATTAATTTTTGTTGCCCAGTGGGATTAGCAGGAGCATACCCTCTCTTAATTTTACTTCATTACTGCCCTTGGGTTCCAGGAATTACTTCAATACTCTTCTTCAAGGACTTCTGAGGAAGGCAGCAAGTGAGAGAGAAAGGAATTTTGACTCCTCATAGATGAGGGATGTGAATTCATCTTTCAAAGAGATGACGCTAGCGATGAAACCTCTTGACTCTGGAGACCTATCAAGTTACTTTAGAGTAAAAAGTACCTTCTGTAGGTGGTTCCTGGTAGCTGTCTGCCTACATATTCTGAGCCCACAGAGCATCCCTTATTCTTTGATTTGTCACTTAACCCGCTTTTTGCAATAAGTTAAGAGATGGTGTATGGCTTCAAATGCTTGCTGTGGGTGAGGAGTGCATGTGTAACGATGGGCAGCCGACATATATTGAGTTAAGTCATGGTGTATAAAGAATGGCTCGTGCACATCCTGAAAGACAGCAGGGTGAGCACAAAAACACTTGTGGTGAAGCACAGCCTGAAGCATCATATTTAGCTATAAAGTCTGATTGTGCTAAGGAGTAAAAGAGCAAACCTTGTTCCAGGCAGAAGAGAGCACAGATAAAAGATTGTAGGTCAGAGGAGAAAGCTGAAATGGTAACAGCCCTTAAGGGCCCCCACATTTTCCTTCTTGTTTCTCCACTTCCTCATCTCATTTAAGTGTGGTCAGCAGGGTGAGGGAGGGGATTCTCCCCCTCTGCTCTGCTCTGGTGAGGTCCCACCTGGAGCACTGTGTCCAGCTCTGGAGTCCTCAGTGCAGAAAGAACATGGACCTGTTGGAAGGGGTCCAGAGGAGGCCACAAAGATGATCAGAGGGCTAGAGCACCTCTGCTGTGAGAAAAGACTGAGAGAGTTGGGGGTGTTTAGCCTGGAGAAAAAAGACTGAGAGTTGGGGGTGTTCAGCCTGGAGACGAAAAAAGACTGAGAGAGTTGGGGGTGTTTAGCCTGGAGAACAGAAGGCTCCAGGGAGACCTTAGAGCCCCTTCCAGTCCCTGAAGGGGATGCAGGAGAAATGGGGGGGAGTGATAGGACAATGGGTAATGGTTTTGAACTGAAAAAGGGGAGAAGCCCTAGGATAGGGGTAATGGTTTTAAACTGAAAGAGGGGAGATTTAGATTAGATTTTAGGAAGAAATTCTTTGCTGTGAGGGTGGTGAGACACTGGAAGAGGTTGCCCAGAGAAGCTGTGGCTGCCCCATCCCTGGAGGGGTTCAAGGCCAGGCTGGATGGGGCTTGGAGCAACCTGGTCTGGTGGGAGGTGTCCCTGCTCAGGGCAGGGGGATTGGAATGATTTTTAACCATTCCATGATCTGCCAGTCATCCTTTAGCCTCTAGCTGGCTCTACCTCAGGACACGGTCTTCCAGAGTGACAGGCTGATAGTGTCATGCTGCTTAGCTCACATGTGGATGTACAAGACGTTTTGGACCTCTTTACAAGCAGTTCAACTGGAGTACTTGGGTGTTCCGTTGAGCTGCAAGGTTTGAACCTCATGTCTGTAGGCACAGGTGTAACAGCAGCAGGAGGTCCATCTATCCCAGTGCATCTCTGCTGGAAGATCTGTGCAGGAATGGCATTGTTTACAGAGAACAGAGTTTGTGACTCATTTTAATCTCTTCTGTTCCAGATCTTTTCAGGCCTTTTAGTGAACCTCCCTTCAGTAATGGACTGGCTGAACTGGCTCAAGTACTTCAGCATCCCCCGATACGGCCTCACTGTGAGTAGAAAGTAGCATCTGTCTCCTGTGAGTAGCTTCCCTTCTGGCCTTGGCCGACTGGGCCATCTGCTTGATTGTGCTGGTCCTGGGGTGTCTGCAGTGCAGCCACCTGGTTTTCTGGGGCAGAAGATTGACCCAGATGAAAGGGGATGGACAGAAACCCATAGTGGGCAAGATAGAAACCCATGGCTAAATCACTGACATGAACTTTGAAGCCAAAGCCTTGAACACCAAACCATCCCACACATGGAACCTGGAGGAGTTCCTCGGAAAGGCAGCGATTGAAGAGCTTCAAAATAAAAAGCTCTTAAACATACAATTCCAAGAATGGTGATATGTGTCTTCTAATAATCAATTTCCTTTGAGATGCTTCAGTTTTAGCAGACCAAATCACTAACCCTATAAAAATCTAATGTTTCCCTAGGCTCTCCAAGTGAATGAGTACAGAGGTCTCTACTTCTGTGGTGAGATGAATCCAAACGTCACAGCGCCTGTGGCAAACGTGAGCAGTTGTCCCCCTGATATTTCAGGAGAAATGTAAGTCCCTAACTTATGCGGGGTCCTGGGCTCTAATTGTGATGGCTTCAAATTTTTGGATTATTCACAGAATAACCACTCACAGGCCAGTCTCAGTAATATGTCCCAAAATAATGTATTTTAGGATTATGAAGTAAAACTTCACAATTATCCAAGAGTGAAGTGGGGATGAAGCTTTACTCCTAAAAACAGGCAGAGGAGCTAAATTAAATTTTGGTTTGGATAACCTAGCCCTGGCTTAGCAGTTTTCTTAAAGAAACCCAGGGTTACTTAGGAATGGAAATGCAACACGTGGATGGCTACAGAGTTGTTGGGAAGTAGTAGGGCTGTGATCAGCTATCTCCCAGATTTGAAATACCCTTGACTATCAATAACTTGAGTTCTAGCAATGCATCTAGCTATGGATCTCCAATGATTGCTGTGTGAAACTAATGCTTTGGCATTTAATCACGATTTAATGTGGTTTTGGGTTTGATTCATAAATTGTCAGCTATCTAAACAAAAATTACAGAATCACAGAATGACAGGAATCGGAAGGTCCCTTCCAACCCCATATTGTTCTGTGATTCTGTGACCTCTGGAGATCATCTAGTCCAACCGATCGGAAGGTCCCTTCCAACACCATATTTTTCTGTGATTCTGTGACCTCTGGAGATCATCTAGTCCAACCCCCTGCCAGAGCAGGGCCACCCAGAGCAGGTTGCACAGGAACCCGTCCAGGTGGGTTTGGAATGTCTCCAAGAAGGAGACTCCACCAGCTCTCTGGGCAGCCTCTTCCAGGGCTCTGCCACCCTCACAGGAAAGAAGTTGCTCCTCATGATTAGATGGAACTTCCTATGGTCAAGTTTGTACCCATTACCTCTTGTCCTGTCATTGGGCACCACTGAAAAAGGACTGGTCCCATCCAGTCTTTTTAGTAGTAGGATACTACTGAAAAATTATGAGAACCAGAGATCTAGATTTGTCCCTTAAGCTTTTTTTTTTTTTTAGTGATAGGTTATGAAGTTTCTGTCACCTGTTTTGCAGAGTTGAGGGTAGAAGAATCTTTGTGGAACGGGAATAAAAGTAACTACCTGAAAACTTGCACCACGTAGTTATAAAACTACACTTTTCTGCAGGTGTTCCGGTGAAGCCTATCTGTGCAGCCAAGGAATCGAGCCTACCAACTGGGCAATGTGGGAAAACATAGTGGCTCTCTTCTGCATGACCGTCATCTTCCTTATCATTGCCTATGCAAAACTTCGGTTTATGAAAAAGTTCACGTAGACTCCTGTGTTGCCTTGCTTGGCAGCTTCTCTGGTCTCAAGAACCGCAGAGCTTGCTAGAGCCTCCTGGAAATTGCCAAAAGATTTTAACTGACTTTTACCGGACTTCAGATGGGAACCCTGTCCCCTTGTTTCTGGAGCACAATCTCTACACGATTGTATGATTTTTGTTTTTTAAGAAGAAATGCAATAATGTACATTGCATAAGTCTTTTTTTTTTTTGTAAGAATATAATTTTCATAATTCCTTAGGTATATATAAAACTATGTAAAGAATTATTCTTCTGTGGCCAACTTAGACAGGAAATGTCCATAGGGAAACATTTTCCCTTGAACACATGAGCTTTTCCATCACAAATGGTATAAGGTGATGATGGTATTTATGCACTGATATGTTGCCCCTTTTTTGTGCCTGTCCCATCTGAGGGGAGACAGAGGCCATTTGCAGCACGTTGGGAGCTGCGTTTTGAGTTAAAAATCAATACAAGGACCGAGCATTCCTTGCCAAGCAAGAGGAGTTATACTTCTAGTGCCTTCTCCGTGGAAGCTACTTGCAGAAGCGGCTTTTGATGATTAAAAACTAAACAGCAGTGGTGTAAGACACCTCATCTAAGAACAGTGAGAAATATATGCTCTTGTACTGTAAAAAAACCAAAACACACCCAAAAAAACCCCACACCAACAGCAAAAAACACATTTATTACTTATGACAAGGGAGGAAACTCCCTTTTTTCTTTTTTTAATAAAAGTTTGTATGCTTAGTAATAGCAGATCTTCTCAACAGCCTCCATGCACTATATATAGTGCTACTTACACTACGGACTGGATAAAACCACGGAGACACTGCTGGGGCAGCTACAGCAACGCTCACCGCAGCACAGCCGGTAGCGTGCGAGCAGTTATCTCCTCACCACATCGCCAGCAAGAGCAAAGCTGCTTTTAAGCTGCAGTTAAGACCTTCGGATGCAAATGGGGCAGCGAAACCAAAGGGAAAAAACCATCCTCAAGCACAAGGCTGGAGGCAAGTTTCTAGCACGGAAGGGACTCTGGTGCTCTTGCAATAAATGGTTGGGTTGTGGTGGTCGAAAAGAGGGAAACAAGCTGCTCTTTCTGCGCAGCTTCACTGCCTTTCACAGCTGCTAACAAGTAAACTGGTGCCACGCTTTACACATCGGTGTTTGTCTTTCTCCCCTGCCCCGTTCTTGCTTGTTCCCCCACGCGAAGCTGCTGTCCATCTGCCACCTCCTGCCACCTCCAGCGGGGACCCCCCCTCACGATGAGGCCAGAAGTGGCGGTGGGGGGGACACACCGGCTTCGACCTACGCTAAAGACCGGCTGTCAGGCCCGGGCGGGGGCCGGCAAGTGGCTGCCATCGCCCAGAGCCCAGCCATGAACTAGCAATGCATCTAGCTATGGATCTCCAATGATTGCTGTGTGAAACTAATGCTTTGGCATTTAATCACGATTTAATGTGGTTCTGGGTTTGATTCATAAATTGTCAGCTATCTGTAAACAAAAATTACAGAATCACAGAATGACAGGGATCGGAAGGTCCCTTCCAACACCATATTTTTCTGTGATTCTGTGACCTCTGGAGATCATCTAGTCCAACCCCCTGCCAGAGCAGGGCCACCCAGAGCAGGTTGCACAGGAACCCGTCCAGGTGGGTTTGGAATGTCTCCAAGAAGGAGACTCCACCAGCTCTCTGGGCAGCCTCTTCCAGGGCTCTGCCACCCTCACAGGAAAGAAGTTGCTCCTCATGATTAGATGGAACTTCCTATGGTCAAGTTTGTACCCATTACCTCTTGTCCTGTCATTGGGCACCACTGAAAAAGGACTGGTCCCATCCAGTCTTTTTAGTAGTAGGATACTACTGAAAAATTATGAGAACCAGAGATCTAGATTTGTCCCTTAAGCTTTTATTTTTTTTTTTTAGTGATAGGTTATGAAGTTTCTGTCACCTGTTTTGCAGAGTTGAGGGTAGAAGAATCTTTGTGGAACGGGAATAAAAGTAACTACCTGAAAACTTGCACCACGTAGTTATAAAACTACACTTTTCTGCAGGTGTTCCGGTGAAGCCTATCTGTGCAGCCAAGGAATCGAGCCTACCAACTGGGCAATGTGGGAAAACATAGTGGCTCTCTTCTGCATGACCGTCATCTTCCTTATCATTGCCTATGCAAAACTTCGGTTTATGAAAAAGTTCACATAGACTCCTGTGTTGCCTTGCTCGGCAGCTTCTCCGGTCTTAAAAACCCTAGAGCTTGCTAGAGCCTCCTGGAAATTGCCAAAAGATTTCAACTGACTTTTACCGGACTTCAGATGGGAACCCTGTCCCCTTGTTTCTGGAGCACAATCTCCACACGATTGTATGATTTTTGTTTTTTAAGAAGAAATGCAATAATGTACATTGCATAAGTCTTTTTTTTTTTTGTAAGAATATAATTTTCATAATTCCTTAGGTATATATAAAACTATGTAAAGAATTATTCTTCTGTGGCCAACTTAGACAGGAAATGTCCATAGGGAAACATTTTCCCTTGAACACATGAGCTTTTCCATCACAAATGGTATAAGGTGATGATGGTATTTATGCACTGATATGTTGCCCCTTTTTTGTGCCTGTCCCATCTGAGGGGAGACAGAGGCCATTTGCAGCACGTTGGGAGCTGCGTTTTGAGTTAAAAATCAATACAAGGACCGAGCATTCCTTGCCAAGCAAGAGGAGTTATACTTCTAGTGCCTTCTCCATGGAAGCTACTTGCAGAAGCGGCTTTTGATGATTAAAAACTAAACAGCAGTGGTGTAAGACACCTCATCTAAGAACAGTGAGAAATATATGCTCTTGTACTGTAAAAAAACCAAAACACACCCAAAAAAACCCCACACCAACAGCAAAAAACACATTTATTACTTATGACAAGGGAGGAAACTCCCTTTTTTCTTTTTTTAATAAAAGTTTGTATGCTTAGTAATAGCAGATCTTCTCAACAGCCTCCATGCACTATATATAGTGCTACTTACACTACGGACTGGATAAAACCACGGAGACACTGCTGGGGCAGCTACAGCAACGCTCACCGCAGCACAGCCGGTAGCGTGCGAGCAGTTATCTCCTCACCACATCGCCAGCAAGAGCAAAGCTGCTTTTAAGCTGCAGTTAAGACCTTCGGATGCAAATGGGGCAGCGAAACCAAAGGGAAAAAACCATCCTCAAGCACAAGGCTGGAGGCAAGTTTCTAGCACGGAAGGGACTCTGGTGCTCTTGCAATAAATGGTTGGGTTGTGGTGGTCGAAAAGAGGGAAACAAGCTGCTCTTTCTGCGCAGCTTCACTGCCTTTCACAGCTGCTAACAAGTAAACTGGTGCCACGCTTTACACATCGGTGTTTGTCTTTCTCCCCTGCCCCGTTCTTGCTTGTTCCCCCACGCGAAGCTGCTGTCCATCTGCCACCTCCTGCCACCTCCAGCGGGGACCCCCCCTCACGATGAGGCCAGAAGTGGCGGTGGGGGGGACACACCGGCTTCGACCTACGCTAAAGACCGGCTGTCAGGCCCGGGCGGGGGCCGGCAAGTGGCTGCCATCGCCCAGAGCCCAGCCATGAAGGCCGCGGCCTACCCCAGGCCTACCCCAGCCCCTCCACCGCCCAGCCCCGGCCCGCCGGCGGCCGCGCATGCGCAGCGGCGGCGAGGGGCAGGGCCGCGGCCTGGCGGGGGTTGAAGGCGGAAGCGGGCGCCGCGGGAGGGGGCCTGTCGCCATGGCGACCGCGGCGGAGGGGCTGCCGGAGACCGGCGCGCAGCCCGCCAAGCGTAAGGGGCCGGGGCCGCGGGGGGGAAGCCGTCTCCGGGTTCGCCCCTTGGCGGCCTGGCGGTTGGTCGGGCCCTCCCAGGCCGCGGCCTGCTCCCGGCGGTGGGGTGGGAGCCGGTTGCGGGGCGGGCCCGGGCCTTCGCGTGTGCCGGCCGGCCCGGTGGCTCCCTTGGAGCCCGGCGGCTGCACCCTGCTGCTTCCCCGGCGGGACTGGGCCCAGCCTTTTGAGTTGGAGCCGGCAAATGCTGCCGACAGAGCATGGAGGAGCCCGTCGGGCTGAGGAGGAGGTGCCGAAGTGCTCCTGAGAGCGGAGTACAGGCGGGTTGTGGTAGGAAGGGGGGGGGAGGAGAAAAGCGGTAAAAAAAAATACCGCTTTCCGTAGGTGGGGATCTGTTGTGGCTGCTCGTGAAACTGACAGGGAGCGAGGGAGCTGTGCTCCTATTCTGGATCGGTTACTAGAAATAAACATCGTTGTGCACAAAGTTGCTCAGAAGTTGCTTCCCCGATTCCTCTCCTGTCTTCTCAGCACAGGAGGGGGCTGATATTTGCAAGCGTGGCCAGGCCACTGTCTCTTGAGTGTTTCCTAAAGCATTATTTTGAAATAATTTTGATGCTATTTTAAGGAAACTGCCTAGGTTCGTTAGCCCTTCGTGTAAAGCAGGCGAGTTAAATGGAAAATAGGTGTAGCCGATTTTTATGGTGTGTTTCTGTACCTACTATCCTCCCCCTAATCCTGTAACTTCTCTACCCTGATTAGAGGATCCTGCTGTTGAAACAGCGGAGGAAGCTAAGGAACCAGCAGAGGCAGACATCAATGAACTCTGTAAAGACATGTTCAGCAAAATGGCCATCTATTTAACGGGTGAACTGACAGGTAAGTCGCTGCAAGTTTCTGTTTCTTTTAAAGAAATTTGTTGTGTAGTTTGTCTAAACTATACCTATTTACACAGAGTGTATTTAGAGCATGTGTGGCATGTGGCTTGACTGCTAACAACACTGAGGTTAATCGTATTAATGAAGTCCCAGATTAGCAGGAATACTTTCCAAAAGAATTCAGTCCAATATCAGCAACTTCAAAAACAAATTATCTTTTTAGTCTTGCAGAAGATTGTACGTGGAAAAATGAGCAGACAAAGGGGGTGTAGGTTAAGAAGGACTGGAAGAGAAGCACAACTGAGAGTGGAAGGTGTGCAGCTGTTTTGTTTCTGGGCGAGAGCAAGGATCGTACACGTATTTTTCCAACATTAATGCTTTAGAATAAACTGCCGTGCAACATTAACTGCAGCAAAGTAAACTGCTCAACAAGTTGGTGGATTCCATGGCCTCTAATTTTGAAAACATTCCACAGCACTCCTGATTGGCTTGAACTTGAAGGGTATATGGTACAGATTACCATCTGGATTTGTGCTGTCAGTTTTGTAAACATAAGGGTTTAGCTGACAGAATAAGAGCAGAAGTGTCAACTTTTCAACTCTCAAGTAGTCAACTTTTCTCGCTTGCAAAAATAAATTGCAGTTGAGTAAGTATTCATCAATCCAGTTGATTTTTTACAGTTCACAAAATATCATCTTTTTGTTGAGCATTATACTAAGTATACTTAATAATACTGAGTATTACCATCTCAACTATTCTGTTACTTTTAGCTATTGGTTTGAAATCTCTTGTCCCATTGAAGAGCCTGCACCCAATTCAAACCACATCACCTTTGAATTAAAATAAACTCTCTTCTTTTTAAGCCACCAGTGAAGACTACAAACTCTTGGAAAACATGAATAAGCTGACTAGCTTGAAGTACCTAGAAATGAAAGATATTGCTATAAACATCAGTAGAAATCTGAAGGATTTAAATCAAAAATGTAAGTAAATCAAATAAGGTAGGGTATAATGAATGGTGGGCTTGTTTGGGAAATACATCTATGGGTTGGATGATTCATGCTTCATTTGGTGCTGAAGGAAAGAAAACTCACTGAAATGCCCATGCTGGTGTACAATGCCAGTCTTGTATATTTCTGTACAGCTCTAGACTATGTAGACTAGCACAAGAGAAAACACAACTTGGTTTATGTGCTGTCTTACCCCAGATTTTGGATCTGATAGGAATGAAATAAGACTTCTTTTGACTCATGTTGCATTGCTACTTGCGTTGAGTTTAGCTAACATTTCATACTTTGCTGTAACATGACTGTCGGTATCACCACTTGGTTTTGGGGCAGGGGAAGGAATGAGCTTTTAAAGTGTTTTATCTGAAGAATGTAACGAGAAATTCTTGTTTCAAGTGTGAACTGTTTCTTGGAAGTGAATTGCTAAGAGCTGACAGATACAATTTTTCTGCTTTTTTAAGATGCTGCTCTTCAGCCATATCTGGAACAAATCAACCTAATTGAGGAGCAAGTTGCAGCGCTCGAGCAAGCGGCTTATAAATTGGATGCATATTCCAAAAAACTTGGTAACTGTCGTCCTCTAGTGTTACTACTGTGCAGCATAGTCCCTTGCAAGGGATTTAAAAAGATGAAGTGAACTCCTTCTTTATTTAACAAGTCTGAGCTGCAGAGTTGCCTGTGCAGCATAGTGTTGCCCTGCTTTTGAACAGCAAACATTGTATGTGAAGTGTTGGGAAAAGATTAATATATGAAGTTGTAGGGAGGTGGACTAGTACAGGTGTGCAAGTGTTGGGAAAAAATTAATATATCAAGTTGTAGGGAGGTGGACTAGTACAGGTGTTACTGAACTACAGCTTATTGGTGAGGCTTGATTTCTTTTTTACAATGTGCACTGACCCAGACTTAAAAGACAGGTGTTTAATCCTGCAAATAGAAGGATTCACAAAGTTCCACCAGACACCCAACTCCCCTTGACTTAATATTAGTGGTCTGATTAAAAAACTTGGTTCTTTAAAAGGTTATTTTACAACTATATTTGCCTAAATGCTTTAGGAAAAAACATGACCTGGAGTGATCCTATAAATTAACTTGAGTTTTAAGATGTATAGCAGCTTACAAGATTCAAAGCTTTTACCTATTTAGTCCTAAAATATTGTTGTTTTTCCTTCTGCAGAAGCCAAGTACAAAAAACTAGAGAAACGATGAAATTACAACACTCTTGAAGTTGGGCTATGAGTCGGACTGATCTGTGTTGAAGCTGCACAACAGCAATTCTGTATGTTGCTGAGGATTTGGTTACAGCTAACATCAGGACTGGTGACTTGTGGCTGTTGAATACAGTAGGCTGTATTCAGGCTTAAAGACTGAACAGTGTTTTCCTCTTCTCAAGTGGTTCTGTTGCCTCAGTTGTTCTGCAGTGAAAAGCTGAAACCCATCCCTAACCCATACGTTGATTCTGGCTCTCTGTGTGTTAGTCCTGCATCCCATGTGAAATAACTCTCTAGGAAAAGCCCTCCATAACCTATAAGGATGTTTTACTTTAGTAGCAGCAGGACCTAAACATTCTTTTTCCTTCATTGAGCTCTGCTTTGAGAAGGTACCTGGACCTTTGGAGCTATGAGCATGGTATTGATAACACTTCGGTTTGGTATCCATCTTTATCTGTTTGAAACAGAGAGACTAGTTATTATAAATTTACAATAAAACAACTTGCTGCATTTGTCTCTCTTGGAATCTCAGATTCCTGTTGGAAAAAATATGTAAGTTGCCTTTTTATTTTCTCAAAGCGTCTGTTAATAAAGACAAACTCCTTCCAGCTACTGGAGATCATAGCAGAGAACGTGCTTTAAATTCTGCGCCAGGTATTGCTGCAATTATATTCTTTGAATGTTTGGACCTCAGGTGAAATTGCAAGAAGTGTTGCTTTATCACATGCTCAGTTAACTGAGCAGATCTTAGAGATACTGTGTTATATGGCCTTGAGGTAGGATTTAAGAGAGAGGGTTGTGTTCACTCAAGAAAAGGCCTTTTTGGAATGAGCATCTTTAAGGAAGGGTTAAGTCTACCGGAGGTATCCCACCGTTTGCATCTTTTATAGTTAGTAGCTGATGACTTTTATATCTGTGAAAGCGAATCGGGCATTTTAGTATCATTATCAAAGCAACATCCTCCCACCCGACAGGAAGAGGTACCGACAGAGGAGTTACCATTTCTGTGTTGATCCCTAACCCATACGTTGATTCTGGCTCTCTGTGTGTTAGTCCTGCATCCCATGTGAAATAACTCTCTAGGAAAAGCCCTCCATAACCTGTAAGGATGTTTTACCTTAGTAGCAGCAGGACCTAAACATTCTTTTTCCTTCATTGAGCTCTGCTTTGAGAGGGTACCTGGACCTTTGGAGCTATGAGCATGGTATTGATAACACTTCGGTTTGGTATCCATCTTTATCTGTTTGAAACAGAGAGACTAGTTATTATAAATAACAACTTGCTGCATTTGTCTCTCTGAAATCTCAAATTCCTGTTGGAAAAAATATGTAAGTTGCCTTTTTATTTTCTCAAAGCGTCTGTTAATAAAGACAAACTCCTTCCAGCTACTGGAGATCATAGCAGAGAACGTGCTTTAAATTCTGCGCCAGGTATTGCTGCAATTATATTCTTTGAATGTTTGGACCTCAGGTGAAATTGCAAGAAGTGTTGCTTTATCACATGCTCAGTTAACTGAGCAGATCTTAGAGATACTGTGTTATATGGCCTTGAGGTAGGATTTAAGAGAGAGGGTTGTGTTCACTCAAGAAAAGGCCTTTTTGGAATGAGCATCTTTAAGGAAGGGTTAAGTCTACCGGAGGTATCCCACCGTTTGCATCTTTTATAGTTAGTAGCTGATGACTTTTATATCTGTGAAAGCGAATCGGGCATTTTAGTATCATTATCAAAGCAACATCCTCCCACCCGACAGGAAGAGGTACCGACAGAGGAGTTACCATTTCTGTGTTGCAGGAAATCAGACCGTGTAGAACAGCAGCCTGGTTTACAGTCCAGCAGATCGTCGTCTTCTCAGGATTCGTGGTGTGTTTGCAGCTCGGCTGGATAAGAGGATCTGGGCAGCCAGACCTAAAATCTTCCTGCCTAGAGACTGGACAGTGTCCTGCTTGGTGATCTCTGGTGCTGGGATGTGTAATACACCAAGAGACGAGGTGGCAGACAATCTATATGTCCTGCTTCAGTGTTTCATGCTAGATGTGGTTCAGCCAGACCCCATGGGGGTTCTGATAGTACCATCCTTCCTCTTTGCTGTTGTGGAGGAGCACCACAGGTGTCTGGCTGTAGAAGCTTGAGGATGCTGCTCAGAGCTCCTCTGTTCCCTGGAAAAGTGTAGATTTTTGTTACAGCATAAAGCACTTTATGCTTTATACGTGGCTGGGAGCTTAATCCCTGATCCCCTGGAAGTCCCCTGGCTGGCCCCTTCCCATAGAATCACAGAATGGTTTGGGTTGGAAGGGACCTTAAAGATCATCGGTGTGGTTCAGCCAGACCCCATGGGGGTTTTGATGGTACTATCCTTCCTCTTTGCTGTTGTGGAGGAGCACCACAGGTGTCTGGCTGTAGAAGCTTGAGGATGCTGCTCAGAGCTCCTCTGTTCCCTGGAAAAGTGTAGATTTTTGTTACAGCATAAAGCACTTTATGCTTTATACGTGGCTGGGAGCTTAATCCCTGATCCCCTGGAAGTCCCCTGTCTGGCCCCTTCCCATAGAATCACAGAATGGTTTGGGTTGGAAGGGACCTTAAAGATCATCAAGTTCCAACCCCCTGCCCTGGGCAGGGACACCTCCCACCAGACCAGGCTGCTCCAAGCCCCATCCAGCCTGGCCTTGAGAAAACCCTATGTCTAAGAACAGAAAAGTTACTAATTCATATCAGATTAGAAATTATTCTGGATATGTGGGCATCATCTAGAGCTGACTGGCCACTAAATCCTTACCAGGGCTGGTCATTTCAGAATTGAAACAGGACCATTGCTCTTCGGTACTGATGATCTCCGGTTCCCAGCTCTTCTTTGGTCATTTCAGGATTGAAACAAGACCATTGCTCTTCCAGTACTGATGATCTCCGGTTCCCAGCTCTTCTGGGAGGGTGGTGCCAGAGGCACAGAGTGGGTGATGGGACACAGAAGGATTGTTCTCCACTGACCCTGCAGTTTGGCTGGGTGCCCAAAGGAAGGGGTGACACGAGTTGCCACCCTAAGGAGATACTGGCCATCTGCTGTCTAGAAACTGTGACCATCTCCATGCGGTAAGGATAATTGTCAAACCCTAAGTGCGGGTGACTTGTCCCGTTGCGTGACAGCAAGCCAATTGGACATGGACCATGTTCTCAGATCCTCAAGGGGAGACAGACTCCACAGGTCCAAGCTGGGTGGGAAGGGTAAGGGCATGCCCTAGTAAGGGCATTTCTCTGCTCGTTGTCTTCCCGTGGCAGGATGGCAGGAGGGCCACAAGAGGGCCGTGTCTCAGCAGAGAAAACATCCACAAGATAAAGCCGTGAAGGCAAAGGACCAAATCTCCTTGATGAAAAAAGGTGCTTTCCTACATATAGAAAATACAACGCTATTTTAAAGCTGCAAAGGCAAAAACCTCCAGGAACGCTGAAGGTGGAAATCCATCTAGCATGGATCTACCATCCATGCATTGCCAACAAGTGCTTGGTGTTTTCTGGTAAGAAAGCTAAGAGATAACAAATTCCTTCACAAACTTGAATATCCCACCTCCAGGAAGCAGAAACAGGAAGAGGAGCTTGTCCCACAAGTGACTTTATTGGAAAGAAATTTTAGGGACTGACCACCTGATGATATTTTCATGTATCTTTCATTCATTTTTCTATGATTCTGTGGCATTTGTGGCTTTGGCCTTTGCAATGCCATGCTACCGACTCATGATACATCAAGCTTATTAATACTTACTAAAGGAAAGAATTTTTGCCTGTTTCATATAAATGCTGTTGTGGTACTATTACAGTTGCTGTCTTTTTCCACATAGCACAAATTCAGCTCTCTGCCTTCACTGTAGCTGCTATAAATTATACATGGCAGGGAATGTCATCAAGTTGAGAAAAGTCAGTCCTACATGTGTACAGGTGTGCTCTGCAACTCATGTAAACTCTTTTAACTCTTTTTTTTTTCTTTTTCTTTTTTTGCCCTATTGTTGCTTTAGCAATCTTTCCGTGCTTCGTAAAATAATGGGAAGATACAAGCTGCCATTCATCTAGCAAATGGCACTGGGGGGGATCCCAGTATTATTTGGCTTGTCTTCTTTTGCCACAACAGGCAGTTGGGGTTCTGATAGGTCTCATTGGGTCATTCCAGCCTTCCCCCACATTGGTACCGAGAACAGAAGTTTTACGGGTGGTGGACCAGTTCATTCTTCCGTCCATAATACATTTCATATAAATGAGCAAAATAAAACAGGCAGATAGATATATACAAGTCTTGGAAAATATTTGGGAGTGTAAGCATAGTGGTGGCAGGTTTTTCATGAAAAGGTGTTCTTCTGGGATCTCAGAAAAAACCAACAATTCAGTGTGCTATTTCTTTATTTTGTAATTGAAATTTTAATTTCACAAACCTTCGTTATGATCACACAGGAGAGGATCCATCTAACCAGTCATCAATAGACTCCGTCCCCACCACAAGAGACAACATGTAATGGGGCAAGAAAACAGTAGATTATCATCTTCTGACAGAATTCCCCTGACACTGTTTTAACGCTTCTCTTTACAAATAGGTCACATACAAACTGAAAATACAGAGGAGAGAGGTACCTCAAGCAGAGTCTCTGGAAACTCAGGATTATGAGCATCTGTACAGACCCTGAACCATCAGGACATCGGGAGCCAGGTAGGAACCTGAGCGAGGAGAGGTAGGTACAGAGGAGAGCCTGTAGATATAATTTTGCACAAGGACCTGTCTCCTTCCCTATGCAGTTCCCTGCTCTGTCTCTGTTTAGAGCTGGCTGTGGTGATTATAAAAACACCGTACAGCTTTCTTTTCTAAGCAAATTTCTCTCCATGAAGTATCTAGCAAATGATCCAAGAGTTTCAATCTCGGCAGGCTGGGAAATGGCTGGCATTCAACCTGAGTTTTCATGAGTGTGGGAGCTGGTGACTGCCTTCCCTTGGCTAACGTGGAATGAAAGAGACTTCATAAGGTCGGGGCAGATTTGCCAAAGCACTGATTAGTGGGGAAATGTCAACGTCCTTGGGATCCACAACAGGTTTCAAAGTAAAGTTCTGCAGGATGGCTGTAAAAAATATGAATAGCTCCATCCGGGCCAGGCCTTCTCCTGCACAGATGCGTTTTCCTGCAAGTGAAAAACAATAAAAAGTCAGGTAATAGTGCAGTATTTTGCTGGTAACTTATTTTAACCACTGTTCCATGAAAGTTGAGACATCTCAGAATGGACAGGCAGTGCTATAGCATTTTGAGGAAGCAAATTAATTAAACTAGGAGCTACGCATCTAGAACGCTGAGAGAGCAAAGGGCAAAGGTGGTTTGAAGGCTTTGGTTTCTCATGTTCTGCTGTGGTTTGATGGTGAGTTTGGAGAGAGAGAATTTGCGTGAGTCCCACTTTGTACATCTCTTCTTGGGAAATGCATTGGAGGAGAAGCTTTCGCAATGGCTAAAAAATGGAATAAATTGAAACTCTAGTCCTCCAGCGTTAGAGCTGCCCAGAAATGACTTGAGCAAGGATGACCATGAGCCAACAACGTGCCCTTGTGGCCAAGAAGGCCAATGGCATCCTGGGGTGCATTAGGAAGAGTGTGACCAGCAGGTGGAGGGAGGTCATCCTCCCCCTTTACTCTGCCCCCTTTACTACTCCCATCTGGAGTCCTGTGTCCAGTTCTGGGCTCCCCGTTTCCAGAAGGACAGGGAGCTGTTGGAGAAGGTACAGCAGAGGGCTACAAAGATGATGAGGGGTCTGGAGCATCTCTCTCATGAGGAAAGGCTGAGGGACTTGGGTCTTTGTAGTCTAGAGAAGAGAAGACAGGGGGGAGCTGATCAATGCCTGATAAATACTTAAAGGGTAGGTATCAGGAGGATGGGGCCAGTCTTTTTTCAGTGGTGCCCAGTGGACAGGACAAGAGGAAATGGGCACAAACTTGAATATAAGAAGTTCCACCTAAAGACGACGCGGAACTTCTTTCCTTTGAGGGTGGCAGAGCCCTGGCAGAGGCTGCCCAGAGAGGTGGTGGAGTCTCCTTCTCTGGAGACATTCAAACCCCCCAGGACCCATTCCTGTGCAACCTGCTCTGGGTGACCCTGCTCTGGCAGGGGGTTGGACTAGATGATCTCCAGAGGTCCCTTCAAACCCCATGTGATTCTGTGAGCAGATCAGCAGACACCACTGCACAGACCATAGGGATAGACACACTAAAATCCTCAAAAATCTTCAGAGAGGTTCTCAGAGATGGTATTCTAGGATCTGAAACAGAAAAAGGTCTTACCTGCAGAAAATGGCATGAAGTGGTCACTCTTTTTAAAGGTCCCATTTGCATTCAGGAAATGTCCTGGGTCGAATTTTTCTGGATTTGGAAATTCCTTGCCATCGTGTAGGACGGGAGACAGCATAGGGAATATCATAGTGTCCTGAATTTAAAGAGAGAGGAGGAGAAAGTTAAAATGGAGGCATTCTAAAGCAAAAAGGCATTGAGAAGTTTCCAGAGTTGGATAGAAGGATAGTTAAAGTTTAACCAGTTTAAAATGAGCAGTTAATGAATAGAAATGGGTGCCATTGGTATGGCAAGTATGGGGTTTTTTTGATGAATTTTGATGGTGAGTCTGATTAGAGTATTTAATATTGCTTCCAAATAATTTTGAACTTTGCTTACATTTATGTGAAAAAATAGAAAGTTCTATTGCTCTGTCTCACTCTTCACACAGAGGACGAAAAGTCTTTTTTCTTTTTTTTTTTTTTCAAATACAAGGGGTTGGACTAAATAATTTCCAGAATCCCCTTCCAAACAAAATTATTCGGATTCTATATCACATTTCAGTATTTTTGAAAAGAAAAGAAAACAGAATGAATAGAACACATCGTTGTTTTCAAGAGATTATGACTTTTCTCAGACGCATGGAACAGACCTTAGGAATAAAATAGTCTCTGAACTTGGTGTCTTTGATCACAGTATGTGGGACATTAAGCGGAAGGAAGTCAATGAATCTCTGGATTTCATGGACCACAGCGTCTGTGTAGGGCATCTGGCTCCGATCTGCCATGCAGGGGCTTCGGTCTCGGCCAATCACACTGTCAATCTCCTTCTGAATTTTCTCTGTTAGGAAAGAAGTAAGTGTTGCGTGGACAAGTTCCCCATCTTTTTACCTAAGCAATATTTACAGCAAAACTTGCTTTTAGCGCACCAGGAATATATGAATGTATTTAGTACTAATATCTCTTTCCTGTGAATAGAAATGAGACTAATGCAAGATTAATTAAGACCAGGCTGGATGGGGCTTTGAGCAACCTGGTCTGGTGGGAGGTGTCCCTGCCCAGGGCAGGGGGGTTGGAACTGGATGATCTTGAAGGTCCCTTCCAACTCTAACCATTCTATGATTCTACTACACATTTCCACACTGCAAACATACATGTTTCTTTTGTGGGGGGACCATTGCCACGTGTGGAATTGTCCGACTTGATCCCGTGACCTATTAAAAAGTTTTGGGTTATTTATTTCCTTTCGTATTACCTACTATCTCTGGGTATTTCTGCAGAATCAGAAATCCATGTCTCAGCGTGATGCTGGTGGTTCCCGTTCCCGCCAGGAACAAGTCAAGAGTGGTTCTGCTCAAGGTCTCAACGGTGAATTCGGAGTGACTGTTCCCTTTCTCCTGGGGGAAGATTTGGCAGGAGGTTGTGAATGACAAAGCTCAGCGCTACGTACCCATAATGTAAGTTTTTAAACGCATCTAATGTCCTTTCAAAAATATGATACTAACTCTCCAGAACACCAGCATTTATGATACTTTTACTAAATAATATTATGAACCTTTTTTAATATGGGAGGAGCACTGAATTACATCAACCAGATTGGTCTTCAGCTTTCCTAACTTTGTGTAGTGCTGTTAATTCTGTATTTAAAAATCCTCGAGAAGAAAATTGAGAGGATGATAGAATTAACTTGATGTCCCAAGAAAAGAAAGTACCCTTCTGTATTTGCAAAAGCCCACTGCCCTGTCACAACCGAAAAAAAGCTGGGATTCAAGCAGGGGTTTTCTTATAATCCAATACATCTCTTGCTCTTACATTACCTGTTCCATTTTGTTAAGAAAAGCATCAACAAAATCTCGAGGACAACTGGGATCCAGGGTTTTCTGGTGTTCCTCTATGATTTCTATAGTGAATTGATCAACTTTTTCAACATTTTTTATCAGTTGTTGATGAGGTCCAGGTAAATGGTCCATGAGAGTGGGGAAGAAATTGTATAGCTGTAAAAATAAAATGTTGTAAAAGCACTTTCTGATTAATGTGGGCGTAATAAAATGTTCCCCTGAATGTTACTATGAAAATGGGGCAATTAAACTGTTTTGGAACAGTAGGTCTTTATTATTCAACAGGATTTTAATGTCTTTTGCTTTATGGTTTTACTACAGTCAAGGATAGACTTCACATGAGCAACTTTTGCGATGATATCTTTCTTTGGACATATAATGGCAATTCCATAAGATAAGAAAAAAATACAGCAATTGGTTATTTAACTGCCTTTTTGGCTTTCAAAAAATGTCTCCAGATTTAGAAGAAACTACTCCAATAAAAAAATAATAACATGGATAAATATTCCTTAATAAAAGGGATTATGAGAAATATTCATAAATAAAAAATTCTTGAAGGTCCCTTCCAACCCAAACCATTCTATGATTCTATAAAATACTATAATCATTTACAAATTTATCAATTAAATAAAACTGTACACACCTGTGTGTGTATAGAGTTTTGAAGCCTGTTGTTTTCCTCTAGCAGCTCAATTAAAGTTATAAATTTCTTGTCCTCATAGTCAAACCGATCCCCAAAGACGATGGAGCAGATGATGTTGGAAACAGCGTGGATCAGGAAGCTGCCAGGGTTAAAGGGTTGCTCTACAACAACAAAAAAATACTACAGTCAAGGATAGACTTCACATGAGCAACTTTTGCGATGATATCTTTCTTTGGACATATAATGGCAATTCCATAAGATAAGAAAAAAATACAGCAATTGGTTATTTAACTGCCTTTTTGGCTTTCAAAAAATGTCTCCAGATTTAGAAGAAACTACTCCAATAAAAAAATAATAACATGGATAAATATTCCTTAATAAAAGGGATTATGAGAAATATTCATAAATAAAAAATTCTTGAAGGTCCCTTCCAACCCAAACCATTCTATGATTCTATAAAATACTATAATCATTTACAAATTTATCAATTAAATAAAACTGTACACACCTGTGTGTGTATAGAGTTTTGAAGCCTGTTGTTTTCCTCTAGCAGCTCAATTAAAGTTATAAATTTCTTGTCCTCATAGTCAAACCGATCCCCAAAGACGATGGAGCAGATGATGTTGGAAACAGCGTGGATCAGGAAGCTGCCAGGGTTAAAGGGTTGCTCTGCAACAACAAAAAAAAAGGGTATCTTGCTTTCAGTATTTCTCAAGGTTTCAAGAGAAGAAACAACAACAACAACAACAAAAAAAGGGTATCTTGCTTTCAGTATTTTTCAGGCATCCTCTGATGGTACAGGGAGGTTTTGCATTCTCTTCAAAGCACTGCAGACCCGGAGTTTTGCAGTCCTTTGAAGGGCTGATCCAATTTATTCTTCTCTGCTTGAAAGGAACTAATTTCTCTGTTTGAATGGTTTCAGTGTCTCATTTGTCCTGTTCTCAGCAGAACACTGGTCTGTGTGGCTTGGTTCCTCTTCAGCTGACATTTGCCTGTCTCTCTCATAGACTATTTATTACAAATGGCTTAAAAAGTCCCACCAAAACCCAACGAATCCGTAAGGACTTTGCCTGAGCCCTGTCTTGAGCTTATTGCACCCTGTTGAATAACTCTATTAGCATAACCTCAGCTGTATTACCCTCTCCTAAGGGTTCCAATGCCTGCAATCAAAGTCTAGTTTTGGTAGCACAGCTGAAGAAGCGTCTGAGTACTGCAGTGTGAGAAAAAAAAGCAAGATTAGACCCAAGAAAGGAAGAAAGAAAGAAAGGTATAACTGCAGACAGTTATAGGGTGCATCTCAAGGTTTCAAGAGAAGAAACAACAACATGAAAAGGTATAAAAAAATCCTAAAAGAAAACCAAGGAGTCAGAAACTGGCAACTTGGCAGCACCAAGGATCAGCCTATTCCAAGGAGCAACACCACCAACCCTTCTCTGCCTGACCGATGCCACTGAAGACTCGGCAGATGTCTCCTCAGAGGTGGTGAGTCTATTAATGCTGAGCCTGGTAGATAACTAGTCCTAGTTACTTATATTTGCATTAACAGTAAATAACGGGTTTATACTTTTCATTGTATATATAGATCTTGCTTGCAAAGCCCTTTAGTACACAGTAATAGATGCTGTAAATAGGTGAGGCAGAGATGGAGGCTTGCAGTTGGGCATGGGAAATACAGTATTCCCATGCTAGTGAAAGGATAAGAGCAATGCAGGTGAGTGTTTTCTCTGATTTGTAGCAGGAATGTTTATCTATGAAGCCAGACTCAATTTTCTAGTGGCTCATGGGCAGCGGTGTCGCTTTAGCTTCCTTTTAGATCTACCAAGAGCAGTTATCCTCCCCTGCTACTCTGCCCTGGGGAGGCCCCATCTTCTTTAGCTTCCTTTTAGATCTACCAAAAGCAGTTATCCTCCCCCACTACTCTGCCCTGGGGAGGCCCTATCTGGAGCACTGGGTCCAGTTCTGGGCTCCCCAGTTCCAGAAGGACAGCCCCTATCATGGCAGATACCCAGGGTGTCCCAGCAGGCAGAAAGTCCATGCCCTACCGTGCATGTTCTTGATCCTCTCCACCAGAAAACGAGCTTCCTCCTGGATTCGCTCCTCAATGCTCTTCTTCCCCATCCCAAAATCCCGCAGGGTGGTGAGTGCGAATCGTCGGAGCTGCCTCCAGGTCTCCCCATTGCTGGTGACGATGCCTGACAGAGGAGGGAAAAAGGGACACCCGTGAGGATACAGATTTCTTTTTTCCCCTGAATGGGAGCTACACGGTAAGTACTCGACATGCAAACACACCTTTCTGTGGAGTTTTACTGCAATTGCTATTTGCCCAAAAATGTAACCTCTCTGCAGTTCTGGGGGTGACAAATCTGATCCATCTGTCACAGCACTTTGAGTAAAACTGAATTTATTCCCAGATTAGGAAAAACTAGGACGTAAATAAGAGTGTAACACTGGTACTGGCTTAATCTTGGCCACAAGCAGATGGCTTTTGCACTGAGATAACTGCTCAAATGTTCTGCTGTGCACCTTCACATGGTGTATCATTGTTGACAGTACCAATGATAGTGCACTGTAGTACCATGGGATAGATACCCAGATAAATGCTGTACTGGGAAATTCCCTGGTGAACAAACTCAGTCTTGAACGTGGCCCTTCCTGGGACAGGCTATAATCTTGTCTTTGTTGGGCCGTGGACTTCCCTTTCGCTAGTTCCTTAGCTGGATGTGTATTGTCAATATTCTCAGACACGGGAGAATGAACATAAGGTCTTAGAGGCACATTTAATGAACAAAACTTTGGCCAGAAGTTGAAGCATGCTGAAAATAGAAAGGCAGTCAGCGAAGCCAACCTGGGACATTAAACAGTTCCCCAGAGGTCTGATTTACTCAAGGGTCCAAGTAATGAGTTGGGCTTTTCGGTTTTTATTGCTAATTTGTATGCACGAAAGCAGTAAATTAGATCCACTATTCCTTCCTCCATTGCCCTCTCAGCTGAAGCACTGACAGCATCAGCTTGGGATGCTAACATTACCAGGGTCATACCTGTGCCTTGGAAGAGTTTTTTAAGCAGTGGTAGACTGCCTCTCCCGCTGAACTCATCTGCCTGGTCAATCAGAGCTTCTTTCACAACATCATACCCATGCAGCACCACAACCTTTTGTGGGCCTAAATACACGGTGAAGACAGGACCATACTTCTCGCTGAGCTGTAGGGAAGAGGAACACAAAGAGCACCACGTCTGAACATTAACCAGGTGAAAAGAAGTTTGTAGCGAAGGGGTCTAAGGGGGAATGTGCTGTTGTCCCAGCATCACTGAGATGTGGCGATGATTAGGGCTACAAAGGTGATGAGGGGCCTGGAGCACGAAATCCCTACACCTGCCACCTCCCAGACCTCGGTCGAGGTCAAGGGGTAACGGTTTTCAACTGAAAGAGGGTAGATTTAGATGAGATCTTAGGAAGAAATTCTTTGCTGTGAGGGTGGTGAGACACTGGAAGAGGTTGCCCAGAGAAGCTGTGGCTGCCCCATCCCTGGAGGGGTTCAAGGCCAGGCTGGATGGGGCTTTGAGCAACCTGGTCTGGTGGGAGGTGTCCCTGCCCATGGCAGGGGGTTGGAACTGGATGATCTTGAAGGTCCCTTCCAATCCAAACCATTCTATGATTCTATAAAATGATTCTGACATCAGCCAGAAGAGGGAACAGACAACACAGTTCAACTTCAAACTTTTTTGCTTCAACCCCTTCACTAGCTTCTTGTACACCCAGGAGATCCAACCTGTCTGCTAGGGAGCAGAGGCAGTAAAATGGAGCAGGGTCCTTCCTAAAAAAGGGCCAGGCTGTGCTGCCAGCGTGGTGAGGAGCTGGGTACAGGAGGAGTATAGTGAATATTACAATAGCATCAGTGCCTTGATTGCAAATCCACTGCAAATTGCAGTACTGCCATCAGGTCAGCACAGGGCTCATCATTAGTATCGATTGCAAATATACAGACTTAGACTTGCAATATATATACCTAGATATATAGATTATTGCAATATATAGACTTGAGAAACGTGTCTTTCTGGGAAACCTTTTGTTTCTGCTTGAGTCTGACATTTGGTCAATGCAAATTAAGCTCGTTAATTAAGCTGAGACAGTCTGGACCATACTGGTTTTTATGTGCAGTGGAGAAAACATAGGGAAGAAGGAGACAGTCTCTTACCTTCTTCAAGCTTTCAGGCAAGTTCCACAGGTCCAGCTGGAATATGTTTCCAAGAAGGGGGAGTGTGATGGGGCCAGGAGGTTGCTTCCCTTTTTGTGATATGCTTCTCCAGGTGGAAACGAGAAGAAGGCACGAGACACAGATCAGCAAGAAAATAGTGGTCACTCCCAGGAGCTCCATGCTGGGCTGAGGAAGAGAAAGGAAATGTCGGAAGAGCCTGATGTTGAACCTGTAAATCCGTGCTTATTTATATGCTGTGATACCAAAGCACATGGATGAAATTAGCCAATAGTGCCTCCCTAACCCTACTGAGATATGAGGTTACTTATTAATCTGCTCAAGATAAGAATGAACAAACTAGGGTGACCTCCTTGTTTACATACTGATTTTTTTCCTCTCCAGCTTGTGTTCCTTTGTGTAATCATTCATGTAGGACTAAAGAAACCACGGTCAAATGCTGTTGAACAAACTCAAAATGCAAAAATATTTGCAGCCTAGCAGCTATGTATATGCTTAAACTCTTGCTGATTGCCCTCATGCATACATGGGCATCTGCCAACCCCTCTAGAAGGTGAGCACAGTGGCAGGAGGTGTTGGGGTTGAAAACGAGCACTCCAAGTTCTTCTTGGTGATTTCACCTCTGTTTCTGGAATGAAATTATGCAATTGTACCCAAGTCACACATGCAGGTTTTGAGGAATACGCAAACCACAAATCCCTCCAGCAACCTGCAGTTTCCTTTCTGATGTTTCTAGAAACTGGTTGAGGATCCATAGAAGGTGTGAAGATCCACGAAAGGTAAAGGCTCTTCATGGATTACCCTGGACAGAGCTTAAAAGAATGATTGGTTTAATTACTACTGAGAATTTAATACGATGTAAAATATTAAATGAAATACAGTACTTAAATGAAATTTCAGTCCCTAAAGGGGCTACAGGAGAGATGGGGAGGGACTCTTGATCAGGGAGTGGAGCAATAGGATGAGGGGTAATGGTTTTAAATTCAAAGAGGGGAGATTTAGATTAGATATTACGAAGAAATTCCTTATTGTGCGGGGGGTGAGACACTGGAACAGGTTGCCCAGGAAGAAATTCCTTATTGTGAGAGGGGTGAGACACTGGAAGAGGTTGCCCAGAGCAGCTGTGGCTGCCCCATCCCTGGAGGGGTTCAAGGCCAGGCTGGATGGGGCTTTGAGCAACCTGGTCTGGTGGGAGGTGTCCCTGCCCAGGGCAGGGGGGTTGGAACTGGATGATCTTTAAGGTCCCATCCAACCCAAACCATTCTATGATTCTTAAAACTAAGTAGGTATGGGAAGGAGCCTGAGTAACAGGTACACCGTCTTAAAACTAAGTAGATATGGGAAGGAGCCTGAGTAACAGGTACACCTTTCCTAAACTACAAACATAATTACTAAATATGTGTGTAAATATTACTAAATACTACAGGAAACCTGTAGTGCATAAACCAGTGATGTAGGTACAAGGGGAGAAAAATGAATTTATTAGGTGCAAAATTATATGTATTTTCTGACAGTGCTTAAATGTCAAGAGCATGAATTACTCTTTTGGGGTTAAGGAATGTTACTAAACTTGACTTTTGTGAGTCTTATATTAGTCCTAAAGCAATGTTAACTCAGACCCAGCGTAGCCTCAGTAGGGGAACAAATAAGTGAAGAGAATGTGGGATGCAGAGACTAGAAGCTGGTAACAACTGCAGTGTAAGGAAGGTAATGGAAACATTACTGGGATAAAAACCCAATTGATTTCATCACTGAAGGAAATCTCAGTGTAATAAGAGACATGAAATTCCTCTTAAACTCACTCTGAATGAGAATCCGTGCCAAACGATAGTATTTTCGTGTCTACCTCTGATTAGCAAAGGTCAGACGTTTTCTGTCTGTGGAACTGGTGCTCAAAGACAACGCCATGGACAGTGCTGGCAAGAAGAACCGAGTGGGTCAGTGTCCTCTGGCAGCACGTATTTCCCTCCACATGCTAGAGAGGGAGGTCATCCAGACTTCCAGGCGGCTAATGTCAGATGAGACTCATCTTACCCAACGACATTAGGGACCATTTCAGTTTCTCTGAACCAGAGAAAGAGGCTCTGCCACCTGCCAACTCTCAGCCCATCCCATTACATCTTTTGAGATGCAGACCCAAAATGGTAATGACCTCTTAGGTGGTGTGACACTGGAAGAAAGTGTGAAAAATTATATATTCTTGTATATCCTGTATTTATAAAGTCTTTTATTTTTCTTTCAGGTAATGGTAGTGGGCTTTGAAAGGTGTTTTCTTTCCTGCATCGACTCATTGGCTTAGACCTTGGGTCCACGTTGGTTCCATCAGTTTTTGAGTGCTCATATCTGCACTTCCATGTGTACAAAAATAGATGGATATATTGTGAACAGCAGACTTTGTTTTCTACTGAGTTGTCAAAAGGGCATTTAAAGGGTGGGCAGATTTTTTCCTTTAGCCCAATTAGCAAAGGACTAGCAGATTCTACAGCAGCGAGGAAAGAAACATTTCCCACCTAAATTTAGATATTAAGAAGGTAGGTGTACAAATCAGCTCGTCTCCCCTGTTAGGGGAGAAACACTGATACTTCCAGAGAACAGGGCATCTGACTTTTCTTTTTTGCCTATTTTAGCATGAAATGAGTCAGTCACTGAAGAAATGTATTTGTGTCCCTTGACTGCAAAGGGAGCCTCAGGAGATTTAAACAGATTTACATGTCTGGCTGCCAGGGATCTGATTTGAGGCAGATGACGCCAATTCCCTGCGCATCTCTCCCTGTCCCGAAGATTTTCTTTATCAGCAACAAATTCTGCATGTTCTGTTACAACAGGCACCACTGAATACTGCACACTGAGGGTATTTAAAACCAGAAGTGGGCAGATGAATGAAATTGAGAGGAGCCTTCTAGGCCAAGTCCGGAGGGTTGATTATATCACTGAGAACACTCATTTTTATTGCCGTCGAGGAAAAACTGAAGTTGTTTGCATTTTTGTTCCCTTTACTTTTGCAGATGAGGTGCCTTGTGTTCCTCTACTGGCAGCCCTGAGGATGAACAACTGCTGTGAAGCCTAATGTGGTGGAAAAGCAGGGCTTTGCTTGCAGCATCACTCCCACATCTGGACGTGGCTTTTTAAATTATTTTATCTAATCACTCGCATAACCCCTGAAGGATTTCAAAATGGTGTTGGGACGAAGCCAGAACTGCTTGGAGGGATCCAGGAGTTGCACTGGAAAGAGATTTAACTGCTAAAGGTCTTGGGTCACCTCTGATGACAGAAAGGCAAGAATTATGTGAGTATGGAAGGCTTATTTGAGTATGAAAGGCTTATTTGGGTATGAAAGGCTTATCTGTGTATGAAAGGCCTATCCTGAGGCAGTTTTTATTCACAAGATGCACCTGAAAAACTCTGTTTTCTTCCTAGTGGGGTATAAATCCTCCTGGGATCCCACCCTGGGTTAATTCATAGCCTTTCGCCTGGGACCTGCACTTACTCTTTAATTCACTTGCTCACAGTCTTCTGGTGGGAGCTGGTGAGTCTTTGCATCACTTTTTCGATATTTTTTTTGTCCTTCCCTTTCCTTAACTGCCTTTTTGTCTTGGCCCAGGAGTTTTTCTCACTTTTACTCTTCCAGGTCTCTCCTGCTGGAGAGAGATTCAGAGTTTCCACGGTGGAAAGCTGGGTGCAGGCTATTAACCAGTGTCTATTCCCTGGCTTCCAGACACAAATAAAAACAACAATAGTTATTGCCTTTTTTTGGCAATAATAACAAATATTTTCAATATTTGTTCAATGCTCAGAAATACTGCCCTGCAAATGAAGCCATCTGGCTATAAACATTTACAACATCAGAATATATACCTTCTGGCTAATCGTGGAGAGTGTGATGGGTATTAGAGTTTCTAAGAACAGCTTTAAAGGGTAACTCTTCACAATTATACACCACAGACAAACTGAAACCAGATCCGGCTTCTGAAGAGGGCAGTCCTTGGGCCCCAGGGGAGGGCTCATATACATATATATATATCTCATATATATCCGTGGATAGAGTAGAGATCTGTGAAACTATGAGGGGTTTGGAGGAGGTGAGAGGGAATGACAGGTCATATTCTCTTCCTGTATAGAGAATAAATAAAATAGAGACTGGCAGGTTTTAAATGGGCAAAAGGAGGTG